TACACAATACTTACTGAAATATATAATATTTACTCTGTATGTACTAAAGTGTTGCCTTAAATCTGGTTGTAGAAAATTGGAAATTCTTGTGATTATTCATTTTTACTCATACAATTATGATGCATCATCTGACAAGGCAGAAGTTAGAAAAAAGAGAAATGTTACACTAAAACATCGGTGTCTCAATTTCCCAGGAATTACAGTGTAGATCTGTCTGTATAAAGTTTATTGCCTCAAACTCTTTGGTCCACATTTACATGACAGTACAAAAATAGTTTCAAAAATGATAAACTCAATTCCATCAGCCTATCTTCTCTTTGGCTTTGTAATAGTCAATGATGCTCGGCTCCTCCAATAAGACCAAGCATTCCAGTCCAGAAGATCTTTCTGAAGCGTTAATGCCTAATGCCTCCCCCCACCTAGCACATTTTAAGCAGTACTTTCATGATTATTACCTCTTCATTTAACCTATTAATAATTATTTAATTTTATGAATATCAAATATCTAGCTCCTAAGACAAACGGATGTGTCTCAGTGAAATCCCTGTATCTACTGAAAATAATTAGATACTTACTCCAGTAAACTGTATTTTAAAATTTCTTCTCAGATATTTAGCTCTTATAGTATAGATTCTGTCTGGGAGGACTAGAAATACCTTATTATGGCTGAAATACTAAGCAAAAACTTAGCTGCTGCAGGAAAATGACAAAAATGCCCCCTTTTGTTTTAAATTGCAAATGCTTCCAATACTCAAATAATGTAAACTTGAAAAATGGAAAGTATTTGTGAATCTAATAAGCTCTTTTGAAGGAGAGAGACAGGATTAAACATCACTTTCCTACATATGTGGTGTGACATTTTTGTTTTGTTCCAAGTTATTTTACTTTTTGTGTGACTCTGGAGTTTGTAAACATGCCATAAAATTTGGTAATTACATAATGATGATTTCATGGTTCTCACTTAGTATAAAGGTGGCTAGACAGGGCAGCAAAATTGATTTTCTTTTTTACCTTTGTGGAAAGAAACAAAAGGAAATTGAATGCAAAATCTACATTAAGACTATATTAGAATTATAACTCAACAATCTGTTACACATGAAGTGAAAACCAGGTGGAGCCAAGTACTACTTATTGTGCTACAATATTCAGCCAGTGGGTTAAGTTCAAACAACTCTTTGTTTAACCCATGCCTTGTTTTGTTACCCATAGTGTTCCAAATGCATATGACCTGAAACTATCTCTTGTCTCCTCTTGCCAAAGGTACTCAGAGGCAGGACTGTCTCTAGGCAAAAATCATGAAGTAGGTGAATCTTGTGTTCATTTCCTACCCTTTTGCAGTGACAATCTCATCTTAGATTCTCTCCACCTTCCTGTCCCCAAGTGCCTACTCCAGTTGCTCATCGCTCTGGATTGACCCTGTGTTTTCCAGGGGGCTCATGCTGTTTCTTGTTGTCCAATCCCTCTTTGATTGTATAATTTCCCTGCTCAAAAAATGTTCAGAGGCTCCCCCACAGGAGCCAGGCAATCAACGTTCTGCCCCCTTTTCTTTTGAGTCTTAATTCCCACTGCCCCCTCACCACAATGTTCTACTGCAAGTAAATCACTCACCTTGCCCTTTTTATTTCTATATCTTTTCCATACTATTCCTTTTTGTCTGAGTTGGCCTCTATCTCTCATCTCCATCTATGGAAATCCTAATCATCTTTCAAGTTTCCACTCATCTGTATGTCCTCCACATGGCTTCCCTGATCATCCCCAGCCTCTCTCTTCACACCTCATCTATACCACTCATATGGCACTTACCACACGTTGCTTTGTATTATAATATTTATGTATGTGTCTTGTCTCCAGGCACTGTGCTGGGCGCTTTACAAACATAATCTCATTTAAATTTCACAACAATCAAATGAGGTAGGTATTACTAAATCATTTAACCGTTGAGGAAACTGAGGTTCAAACAGGTTAAATAATTTGCCCAAAGTCACACAGCTAGAATGGAACAGAGATAAGACTTGAACCCAGGTCCAAAACATATATTCTTTCCACAAAACCATATTGCCATCTATTTAGTTCTTTTCCATCTTCTGAAAGATGAAATAGAGGTTTAAGATGTGGGAAGAAGTGAGCGCCTGGGTGGCTCAGTTGGTTAAATGACTGCCTTCGGCTCAGGTTGTGATCCTGGAGTCCCGGGATCGAGTCCTGCATCGGGCTCCCTGCTCAGCGGGGAGTCTGCTTCTCCCTCTGACCCTCTCCCCTCTCATGCTCTCTCTCTATCTGATTCTCTCTCTCAAATAAATAAATAAAAATCTTTAAAAAGAAAAAGATGTGGGAAGAAGCAAATTTAGGCTTTCTGGTATCACATGCATATTCAACAAAAAGGTAGAGTTTATTGATAATTATTATGTTGCTAGCTAGAGCTGATGTGATTTGTTATCTATAATCCATAAGGAATTAAAGTAAAATGTGAGAGAAAAAAAAATCCTTACTTAAAGTTGCCAGAACAAATAAACATGGCATAAGAAGAGAATGTTCAAGACAATTGATAATTCAAGAAAGGCTAAATAGCATTGATCTCTGAGCACTATTGAAACATAAGTGCAAGGAAAAGAAGAAAACATAAGGTTGATTAGGAAAGGCTTCCTATAAGTCCTCTCGGATTTAAACAATCTGCAGTGGTTAGGAGGCTGAAGGTATGACTTCTTCCTAAATCTCTCAAAAACAAACAATAATTCTATTGAGTATAAAGCCCATCTTTTTTCTTCTGCCTCTGGTGTGACATCTTGAATAAGTTAGGGGAAAGAAGATTAGCATGTCTAAGACAGAAATCTCATCCCCAATGGACAACTTTTACAACTGCCCTCTCCAGTAGCCAGCCATAACCATGGATTATGAGCCGTACCCTGGACAGGTCGATTCTGGGGAGTCTTCAGCCTAGAGCCAGCCTCCCATCGGTCACATGGCAGAGGCTCCTTCTTGGGAAGAATTTAGACTTAGAATCTCTTTGTGTGTGTGTGTGTGTGTGTGTGTGTGTGTGTGTGTCTGTATGTCTGTGTTTTAAAGATTTATTTACTTGAGAGAGAGCATGAGAGGGAGAGGGGAGATAATCTCAAGCAGACTCCATAATGAGCCTGAGCCCCACTCAGGGGCCCAATCATAACCAGAGCCAAAACCAAGAGTTGGACGCTTAACTGACTGTGCCCACCAGGCACCCCAGGATCTCTTTTGTGCTTTGGCACTACTACATTTGCTTCTCATTTTCCAATCCCCCAGCTTGTCATATTATCAGTTGCATATTTCTTTAACATGAGTGAGATGCAGTTATCATTAAATGTATTTTCAGTGCGCGTCTACTAACTTCTGACAGTCGTCTCAACTTTGCTTGCAAACTCCCTTCCAGTTTATGTATGCTCCCAGTATGCCGATCCCATTCATATATGGCTCTACACTTTTGTTCTTTATACCAATCTTAATAACAATTTTAAAACTGTTTGGGAAAAATAATGCATGTAATCTAAGCTTGAATATAGCAGGGCATACTGGACTTCAGGCCCTATCTTGGAAAGCCTGAGAATTTCCATTTCAGTTATGTGTGAAAGGTGAGGAATTCAATGATCCCAACAGGAAAACTACCTTCACCTACACTGAAACTCAAAACACAAAATCTCCTTTTTCTTTTCTCTGAAGTTTTCATGATATTTCTTGTCTTCTACAAAAGTCCTCAAAGCTAATTCATTTTCTTCTTTTTCTTTTGAAGTAGTTATTGATTCATGGGAAATTGCAAGAGAAATGTACAAGGAGGCCCTGTGTACCCTTCACCCCATTTCTCCAATTGTTATATCTTAACATAATTATAGTGCACCATCGAGGCCAGGAAATTGACATCAGTCTAATTCACTTTTGAATTTCAAAAAAGAAAGAAAAATATCTAACCTGATGACAACCTAGTCAGTTTTGAGTTTCATTCTACATTCTGTTTCTACTCACAAGCAGTAACCAGACTGACAGTGTTGGAAACAAAAGGTGGTACGCCCATACACCCACAGAGAAAATTCTCCCACATTGCTGGAGATGATCATCAGGTCTCATGCAGACCCTAGGTTAGTGTCATAGGTGGTGGAAGGGAGCCTCAGAAGATGTGGGCTGGAATCTGATTCTGCCTCCAAATGTGGACCTTGAGCAAGTCACTTGACCTCTCCAAGCTTCAGTGTATTCATCTACAAAATGGAGGAACTGTTTCTCCTGCCTACTTCATAGGGTTGTTGTGAGGATCAAATGTGATGATGTGTATGAAGGAGAAGATAGGCTGTGAATTAACAATCATGAAGTTTATTATTCTTTTCTGGAACTACTGTCTGTTACAGAAGTTTAGTTTTTCAAAGATGATTTTATTTTAAGAAACAGAACAGACCCACCTCCTTATTAGTTACAAGACCTAGAATTTCCATTATGTGTAAATGACCTTGCCTTACTACCACTCTTAGTAGGACAGGTACTAGCAAAATATTGGACAAGCACTCTGTGACTCATTATCTGCATACCCTGAGGCATACGATCTATTTTAAAATAAATATTTATTAACATTTTCTTCTGAAAGGTCGAATGCATTTTAAGTAGCTTTTATTTTTATCCTGACCACAGGATTTATTCTTGCTTTTTTTTCAGTCATGAGACTTATAATAGGTGCTCTTGACAATATTGAGAAATTATAAGGATACCAGATTAGACAGCAGATGGTTTATGAAGTAGAAATGGAAATCATCCAAACTGCATTGTTCCTTGGTTTGTCTGGATATATAATATAAACTCCTAACTCACTGGTTGATTCTGATGTGTGGGTAGTAAAAATGCTAGTCTTGGCAGTAAGGGTGGAAAAATGTATAGGATAAAATAAACTTAAATCATGGAAAGTAAAGATAAAAGTATTTGTGTGTACTGAATATTTTGGGCACCAAGATAAAAGTGTTAAGATTTGTTTTCTCCTCTTTCCTCCCTGTATACAGGCTGGCATGGCTCTGACCTATGATCCCACAGCCGCCATACAGAATGGGTAAGTAGACTACATTTTCTCTATTTTAATTGCTAAGGTATCTTTGATCTCTGGAATCAGTACTGAAGAAAAATGTTCAAAAATGTCTTTCTTTTGTTTTAAATCCTTAAACAAAAACTTTAAACCAAACATTTCTCACCATTGTATTTTTTTTCTCCCCATATATGACTCTGACCTCATAGCATCTTCCATGTCCTCTATTCCCTCATGTTCTCTACCCGCATTAAGTCTCCCTCCCTCATGCTCTCTTTCTCCCTTAGAAAGAGTAAGGAATAGGATGTGAAGAGGGAGCATAGGGAGATAGGGCTAGGCTGGAAGATGTATCTGTGTGTCTCTGGGATCAGAGTGTTGCCCTGCTGATAACTCTAGAGTTTAGCTTTCAATGATTTGAGTGTTTTCTCAGTTCATGTCAACATGAATAATGCTTTTGCTGTTTTCTCCTGGCTATCAGGAAGGCAATGGACAGAGTCAAGTTAGAAACTTGGTGATTGTGTCTTCACTATTTTATTTATTTATTTATTTTTATTTTTGCGGGGGGAAGGGGCAAAGAGGGGGGAGGAGAGAATCTTAAGCATGCTCCTTGCCCAGCACGGAGCCCAATGTAGGGCTCAATCTCACAACCCGAGATCATGACCTGAATCGAAATCAAGAGTCAGATGCTTAACCGACTGAACCACCCAGACACCCCTCACTCTCCATTTAACTAATCATCTGGAAATTTATAGCTTCTTACTTAGAATAAGTAAGAATAGCCTAGGATTCTTCCTTTGAGGAACAAGACTTAAACTACATGACCTGACCTCTCAAAAATTCTGTGATTCTGAACATCTTTGGTTGAAACTTTCTTCTCAGTTTCCAATCCCTTCTCTTTGCTTCGACTGTCCTGCAATTGACAGGTTATTTTATTTTCATAGCCTTCCATCTTGGATTTCTCCATGGCTTTCAGTTTTCTGTCTTACAGTCTCATTAAAGAATTAATCAGAATGAAGACCTCATTTAAGATCAATGTAGAGGATAAAAAGATGCAAACTCTATTTTCTATTTTGTCAGCTGCCTCTAATGAAAATCTGTGGGATAGTGGAAATATTTAAATATCTCCTATTCTTAGAGTTATTCATTTAGGCAGTGATTTATTCATTCATTCAGAAAACATCCAACGAGTCTGCCAAGCACTTTGCTATGCTCTACAGATTTAAAAAACATTATATGAGACAAGATCTTTGCCTTCAAGGAACTCACAGTCTACCCTTCCATAAAAGAGTAAACATGGATGGTAGGCTAGGGAAGGAGTCTAGTCCTTTCTCCCTTGCTGATTAAAACTTCTCTCCAAGAGCAAAAATTAAGGATTTATCCAGTAAGGATGTTCTTATTTCCAACAAGGCACTATAATCTTGCTGGGTAAAAAGAAGGAAAGAAATGGAGAAGAAAATCTTCAAGAATCACATTGTATAGTTGGGGAAATAAAATAATTAACTCAAAAGATATGAAACAAGGCATCATATGCTAAGTGACAGTGACAGAAAATAGGTGTTATAATGGAAGGGAATAGCATGTATTGAACACATACTATGTACCAAGTACTTTATATTTGTAACTTAAGGTGCTTGGGAGCAGAGCCAAATACATGTAAATATACATGTAGTTACAATTGGAAATGTATATACATAAATGGAAAATAGAAGTAATAATTGAATGAATATGTATATGTTCACTAAGTAGCTTCAATAAGTGCTAATATTTTGCATACTGTATATTATATATGTATTCATCTGTAATATTTATCTATATATCTATTATAAATTCCTTCTTCTAGAGTCTTGGGTAGACTCTATGTGAAGGATTAGAAATGCAGCAGTGATCTAGGCCTGGACTGCAGTGAGAGAATGATGCCTTCTTATGCATTGCTTTAGGCAGTCGTCTTTCCGATGCATAATCTAAAATCTGACTGACTTCTCTAAAGACATAATTTTCCAAATATTCTTCCTGATTTATCACAAACCTAAAGAGAAAGTAAAAAGAGATTTTGGTTCCTAATCTGAGCCACCAAAAGGGAACTTTGGGTTAATGCCATGTTAGAGGCTGTGAGGACCACATGGAACACAGCGAACGTTTCTCCCTCTGCATGCCCTCACCTCACATTTCAGCTCACTGCCCATATGCCACATTGAGATTGGCTGCAAGTCCATCTGTACACCTTAAATCACCCTCTCTATGACGTGTCTTTATCTGCACCTTATATTAACAGTGTTATACTCTAAAGAGTTGCAAAAATGGTTCATCCTTTTTCACTGCCCACTTAAATGTTTGTGACAATGAATAATTCCCTCATGAAACACATTTTCGTTAAGATGCTGAGGATACCCATCTTCTTGATCTTATCTGATCTACTCTCACTGATAAAGAACTGTATGCCATCGACCAGTGCCTCTCTTCAAGACCTTCTTGTCCACTGAATATTCCTTTCAGCCTATAGAAATGCTCAAGTCTCTTCCACCTGTCAAGAGGGTAGAAGCAAAACAATTTTCATGCCAATGACATCACTTCTAGTGACTATACTATTTTAGCCTTCTCTTCACTGCTAAACAACTTCAGTTGTCTGTACACAGTCTTCCCATATTCTTTTCTAATGAAGCCTATTAAATTATGAAGTCTGGTTTCAGACTTGACTGGAATTTCCTTTGTTAATATTCCCAGTGATCTCCAAATGTATCCATTATAATGGACACCCTTTTAGTCCTTACACCACTTGACATCTTGCCTCGTTTGAGTTGTTATTGTTGCCATTTATACCTTTTTGGAAACTTCTTATCGCTTGGATCCCACAACTCCATTCCCTGCTGATCCTCCTTGCTCTGTACTCTTCCTACTCACTTGGTTTCTTCTGATTCCTCCTCTTTCGCCCACTTATACTAATCTTTCTCAGGTTTTGTCTTTTTCCTGGTTGATCTCATCCATTCCTCTTGCTTTGGGAACGTAAAGACTCGTGAGCTGACACTTGGAGTTCATAAGTAGATGCAGGGCACAATAATTATTCTTTGGCTGGTTGGTTATTTTTGTTTTACCTGTGTTTCTAACTGCTTATTAGGTATTGCTCTTAGATATCTTTGTCTGTCCCAAACTGAGATCTTTAACGTCATCAATGTTTCCTAATACAAACCAAACAAATTCAAATGAAAATCAAATATGAAATTTGCTTCTTTTTTTTTCAATAATTCACTCTAAAGCCATTTAGGCCATAAACTTCAGATCTCTGGGTTCTTCTCTTTTTTAACATTCTTAATGATAAAATTGGTCATTAAAACTTATTCAGTCTATCTCTGAACTACATCTTCACCCCAGCTCTTGGTCCTTGCCGCTGGTTGAGTTTATTCAATCACCTCTCTTACCTGGACTAACCTTTTACCTGTCTCTAATACGGCTCTCCTCTAAAATGTTTTCACATTGTTTTTTGAATACATATATTCTATATATATATATGTATATTATATTATATATTCTATATATAAACATACATAAAATGTAATCACAGTAATCATCTCCCTGTCTGGTTTAAAGTGTTAGGTAGACTTTCCTAACTACAGAACAAAACTCAAGACTTCTAAGAATGGCATGCACACACACACACACACATACCCTAATAATAATAATAATAATAAACAGCAACAACAACAACACTTTATGACTTGGTTCCTGAAAATCATATGAACCTTCTATGAACCTTCTTAGAACATCCCATGCAACTTTACACTTCTGCATCTTGTTGCTTATGGAATTCTCTCTGCCCCGAGAGAGTAGTGATTTTCTTCCTTCCTTTCTTCTTCTCTCTCTCTTTCCTTCTTTCTATATTTTTAAAAAAATACTGCTCTCCTTTAAAGGACACAGTCAAGTGATTCCAGACAGAGCTAGTTACACAGTCATTCATAAGAGAAACAGTATAAGCAGTAGTTAAGAGGGCATACTCCAGAATCAGCCTGCCAATATATACATCCAAATTCTGTTATTCACCAGGCATGGGTGAGTTGTTTGTGCTTTAATTTGCTCCTCTGGAAATGGAAATGAGAGTAAGACTCTGTAAGGAGTTAAGGAACTCTGTACAATACAATGTGATCGTCAGTGTAAATATTGATATTATTGTTGCACTGTATTTCAAGGTACCATGATACATTTGACAGTCTATTTGCCATGTAGCTATTGACACCATATTTATTTCCCTGCTGGGCTATTAACTCAGTGAAGGCAGGTTCCATGCTTTATTCATCTTTATAGACTGTTTAACTCAGTATTATAAATGTTAAATCTGAAATAGGAAATGTAACCAATGATATCTTCTTGGCCCCAACAAATTGCCATTAGAGAAACCATTCCTCTTCTCAGCATCAATTTACTCTGTTCCCATATAACACTTTAATCTGATTCTCTTTAAGTATATAGCCTCCAGTTTCACCCAAAGTGTCCAAACTGCCCATGAATTTATCACATCTTGAGTTAAGAATAGAGTTTTAGAAGGCTCAGATTGTCCATTGTGTTGTTGGTAACAAGAAGATAGAAATTTTATATAATCAAATGGAAAGAATAGGAAGATTGTAGTGAATTAATCTTAATCATTTGATACTTCTTCATATAGATGATTTTAAAAATGTGTTCATCTTTGGTTTTATTGTCTTGTATAGTAACATTTTAATAATATGGAATACTAGAACAATAATTTATAAACCTGTAAGATGTCAAGATAACCACAAATATTTTCTCAACATACTTACTGTCCCTTGGGTTAGCATTAACACATGCATCTTGGAGGTGTGGAAGCTGATTTAGAAAACTTACTCAGCATATTAAGGGATCTAACATGATTGTCTAGAATAGAGTATGCTACTCCCTGTTCACATTGCTGTATTTGATCTAGCAGGCACCCTAACTCAGGCAGCAATAACCTAACAGAGTGAGAAATGTTTATTGCTATAGGAAAGAAACTGGTGTCATTTTACATAGAAAAATCAGTA